GTATCCCCTCCTTCATCCCCCTTCTTCCCTCCCACTCTCCACTTGATCCTCCAATTCCAGTCACCACCCCCATCCATCCATAACTCTCTATTCTACTTCCCTTTCCTTAGAGATATGACACCCCCACCCCCACTCCCATACTCTATACCTAACCTCTGGGGTTCTATGGATTGTAGTTTGATTATTGTGTATTTGTCACAAACTACGGTCACCTAAGAGGAGGGAACCTCAATTAAGAAAATGCCTCTATAAAATAGGGTTGTGGTCAATCCTGCAAAGCATTTTCTTAATTAGTAACTGATGTGGTGGAGGGTCCAGTTTATTTTGGGTGGTGCCATCCCTGGATCAGTAGTACTGGATTCTACAAGAAAGTAGCCTGAGCCTGATGAGAGGCCAAGGACAATGGCACTGGGTTTTGATCCTGCTGCAAGTACTGGCTTTGTGGGAGCCTAGCCTGTTTGGATGCTCACCTTACTAGACCTGGATGGAGGGGGGAGGACCTTGGACTTCCCACAGGGCGGGGAACACTGACTGCTCTTTGGACTGGTGATGGAGAGGAGGGGAGTGGGGGGAGGAAGAGGAAGGTGGGAGGCGGGGAGGAGGCAGAAATTTTTTCAATTAAAAAAATATAAATAAATAAATAAAAAAAAAAAAGAAAGCAGCCTGAGCAAGCCATGGAGAGCAAGTCAGTTAAGTAGCACACCTCCATGCCTCTGCATCAACTCCTGCCGCTAGGTTCCTGCCCTGTTTGAGTTCCTGCCTTGGTTTCTCTCAATAAACTGTGATATGTAAGCTAAATAAACCCCTTTCTCTCCAACTTGCTACTTGGTCACGGTGTTTAGTCATAGCAATAGAAACCCTAACTACGACAGTTATCATTGACCTAATAGCTAATATACACATATAAATGAATATATACTGTATTTGTCTTTCTGGGTCTGGTTAGCTAATTCAGGATTCATGGAACTAAAAAAAAATCACATGTCTTTCAATTTTGATATTTGTCTTAGAGAACCCCAAAATTGTTGGTACTAAAGTACTCGTAAAACTTGTACACAAGTCTGATCATTATGTACATATTTTCTGTGTTCTGAACTTGCCAGTGTTTTAGTTAAACAGACGAATTGGCAGATCCAGAAATTTCAGTTACACATTCAAACTCCTAGAGCTAGGGAAGTTTGCCTTGCTGGAATTCTTCCAAATAATTACAGGAATATGAACTGGACTGTAGGGATGACCTATCCAAATTTTTGAAACTGTTGCCATATTGTGTATTTAGACATATAGATCACTCCTTCGGGCAGAAGTAAGTAGGGGATACTAGATTAAGGGGATGAAGGAAGCTGGGCAAACAGCCCTACCTGTTTCTGCTACACAATAAAAACTGTCCAGTAACTGGTAACAGACCATATTGACCTCCCTCTAGAATTTTTCAAAACTGGCTAAATATGTTAAGTTTTAAGAAAATTAAGAGAAAGCGAAGTTCTCTGTATGCAGACCTAAGAATGAGGAATTGTGTCCAATCACAAAACATATGAAGAAATGTGTCAGAATGGAGTTCAAATTTTCTCTGTCAAGGTGAAGTTTGATCACTGACTCCCTTCAGGACCATAAAGCACTGTGTTGCGCTTAGTGTTTATTGACAACTTGACTCCACCTAGAACCATCTAGGAAGAGTAAACTTCCTTTAAGGAGATGCCCAGGTTAGACTGGCCTGTGGCGTGTCTGTAGCAGATTGTGTTGATTGACAGTCAAGGTGGGAAGGCCCAGGCCCCTGTGGGCAGCACCACAAAGCAGGAGAGTCTGGGCTGCCTAAGCAAGCTAGTTGAGTAGGAGCCAGGAAGTGAGCAGCCTTCTGTAATTTCTCCTTTGGTCCCTGCTTGGGTTTCTGCTCTCACTTCCCTCAGTGATGAACTATGACTGGAAGTATAAGCCTCCCCTGTGATGTTTTGCTTGTGTTCTGCTTTACCACAGCAACGGAGAGCAAATGGTGACAAACACTTTCTTCACCTACTAAAAAAAAAAAAAAAAAAAAAAAAAAAAACTAAAACAAACAAAGAAACAAAAAACCCATGAACGATGGTGATAATGATATTTGTATAGGAAGACTTTGGGTTTGAGCAGGGGTTATAAATCAGGCGTTTACAGGAAGAGAACTAAGACTATACAGAAACCTTGAATTGGAAGAAAATTAGGGAGCATGCTGTTAGAGACCAGGGCCATTACTTTTCAGCTAGAAAGATTCCAATGGGTATACAGACCAATATGGACAGAATAAAACCAGAATCCAACAAAAAGCTAGGCTATTGACTAACAAAATTGTGTGCTTAGGGCCAAGAAGGCTGAAGACCAAGCCTAGTTTTACTCTATCTTCTTACTACAGCTCAAAAATTACATAGTAACTCTTTAGCTTGGGTTTTGTTTACAGAGAGCATGAATCCAGGGACTTCCAGCTTTCCTCCTGCAAGAAAGCAAGTGCAATAGCTCTGAATACTTTTTAAAACTCTTTTAAAATGTATTGGAACACTAACAAACTAATAAACCATGACCAAGGCAAATGACAAAGAAAAACTAGGAACCCAGACAGGTAAGAACTGCAAAATGCTCCTCTCCTCTCCTCTCCTCTCCTCCTCTCCCCTCCCCTTCCCTCCCCTATTCTCCTCTTTTCTTTTTTCTTTTTTTCTTTTCTTTGGCAGAGTCTTCCTCCCTCCCTCCCTTTCTTCTTTAGTATGATAGGCTTTATTTGTGGCCCCACTTTAGGGTTTGCTGTGGGCATAGTAGCCCAGGCTAGCCTTGAACTTGCCACAGTCTTAGTGCTTCAGCCGGCTACTCCATTTTCTATCAAAGGCCTTGAGAAAGAAAGAGGTGGGGCTAAAGCCAAGACCTTTTCCAGACAAGATGTCTGATAAGAGGCTTTCTTGTTTTACCAGTTCTGGACAGCTGAATTGTGCCTTCCAGGCAAGAGGGAATTAGAAACAAATTGGCCTGTCCAGATATCTTCAGACCAGATCCACTTTTTTTCCAGTGAGTCATGGAATACCTGAAGCAAAATTCACTTGAGTTAGTCCTGAGTAGGAAGCACACTGACTGCTGCCAGGCAAAACAAAGATGAATTCTTCTGGAGACAGACAGTTTCATCACAGTTCTTCAATTATTTTGACAAACAATGTTTCAAAGACTGTAACACTTTACAAAGTTTATAGCAAGTTTCAAAAATGCAACACGTGATGCAGGTTTAGTCATTGAGATGTTTCTTTTTTTTTCCTATTACAAAGTTTCCATCGTGATTTCATAAATGGGCTATTTTATCAACATGAAACTATGTCTATAGAATCAGTTTCACAAGCTGAATTGCTTAGTCCAAGAAATATTCCCCGAAATTTTTCATAGAGAAAAGAGTGTGGTGGCACATGCCTATAATCCAGCCCTCAGTGATGTTTGAAGTCAGTCTTTGCTACACAGCAAGACCCTGTCTCTGAAAAAGTAAATAAAAAAGGTAGTTTGTAGACAACTGTTAATAACCATGTTTAAATATAACTTCTTTCAGAAATTGTTTCTTTTGTTTTGAGACAGGGTCTCTCTATGTATTTTGGGATGTCCAGAAACTTGCTATGTTTGACCAGAATGCCTGCAAACCTAGAGATCTGACTGCCTCTGCCTCCAGAGTCCTGAGACTAAAGTTGTAAACCCCCAATCCTGACCCTACCTTCAGAAAATTTTATCCAAGACGCAGCCTCTGCTGAGCCCTGAAGTTTCGCTGCCACCTGCGAGTTGCCGCTCCCTCCCCAGCCCTCTGGCAGTTAAAGCTAACCTTTCCTTGTTGACTCCCGGGCTGTTCCCGGGTGTGAGAGCTGTGTCTCAGCCAGCGGGAGGCAGATTTTCACTCTGGCTCTGCCCGGCCCGTGGTTGCTGGCAAGGAAAAGACTGAGAACCTCCACATCCACGGTAGAAGTGGGGAGGGAGCGCCCTACAGTTGGGGAAATGTGTAGGGACGAGATGAGGAAGTCCTTTGCACAGCAACAAGGGTGTCATTTGTGATCTCTCTCCGTGAGATCTCGGAGTTTCACTGTGTAGCCCAGGTTGGCCTGGAACGCACACTTCTCCAGTCTCGGGATTCAAGAGGACTGGAGTATAGGGAGTATAGATGTGTGACACCTTGACCCTTACTGTACATTTAAAAAACAGGATTACGTGACGCAGACAAAAAAAAAAAATGTAGCAGCCATGATCTGATGAGCCTGGGTAGCAGCGCAGCACTATTCCAGCTCTGGTGGCGCATTGCATTCTGGGGTTTGGAGCGCCACTAGCTGGCAATCTCTCCCCAGGTCACTGTCAGGGAACCCCAGCTCAGCTAGGATTCCCACAGTCCTCCGCAGCCAGCCGGCAAGGGAGGCGTGAGGTAAGGGGTCTGCTATATTACCTAAGCAAAGAATCTCGAACCACTTAGCTAACTGTGGTCAAGTCATGACCAAGGGCCAAGTGTGCAAACCCAGGCTCCCTGGAATTCCCGTCCACCATCTTAAGCACACCTCAAGACAAGGATTTTTGTTTGATAAATCTTGTTTCTGAGATCCGTGCGTTTTGTCTATGGTAGAAGGTACACGAAACAAAGTATCAGAGATAATGTTGTCTGTGATTCAGTGAAATTGTTAAAACTTCTAGTTCGGTGTTTTATGTGAGGATTCCCTGTCTCTGGCACAGTGCCCTAATAATAAATGTTGACGGAATGAGCGGATAAAAACTATTTTTAGTTAAGAGTCTGCAAATTTGTAGGAAATTATAGAAGAGTCAATAACCCTTTTGAACTTTATTTCGCTAAATGGCTGTTATTACGTTGACAGAACCAGGTAGGGTTGGGGGGTGCGCCAGAGCACTGCTCACAAGAAACGAGCTTATTTCAAAATACTTTTTGAAGTAAAATGATATAGAAATGGAAGCTGAAGCGGGATTTTGGACAGTGGAAGGCAATTCTATGTTAAAAAAAAAAAAACCAGAGGACATTTAAAAGGTATTATTTCCTTTTATTTCCTTGTAAAGCAAAGTGCTCGAGCCCAGCCTCTCACACGCTAGAATCACAGACGCGAATCGGGACCAGCCAAGCGCCGTTCTTTTTTCCAGACGTGGATCCAAGGGAGAGAACTGGACGAGTGAGATGAGGAACTTAGCCAGACTTTAGGGGTGGTCTGAGGAAACGAAAAGAGAGAAAACGCGTTTTAGAAAACAGCTCGGTAGGCTCCAGTCCTGCCCCGCCTCGGCAGTGCCCCGGGCTGGTGCAGCAACCCTCTCCCCCTCCGCCCCGCCCCCGCTAGGCTCTCACGGCAGCTCCAGCCAGCCCAGCCGCAGACCCCCGCCAGTCCCGGCTTTTCCCTCCCGTTCAAGCGGTGTGAGTGGTCCTGGGCCTAGCTGAGGAAGAAAAACCGGGTGGCGAATACTACCCGGCCTGCGACAGCCGGGAAGAGTAGCTCCCGGCCTCTCCCCCGGAGGCCGCGTCTCGGGTTCTGGAAGGCCGAGGATTCCCGCAGTGTCCGCTTCCATCTGCCTCCCCTCTCCTCTCCCCCCGCCCCCGCAAACCTATTAATGATTTCTTATCACAAAATGGACCCTCCGGTTTGCAAGCCTACTATTGAAGACAGGTTTCCTCCCACAAGCTCCCTGGAAGACGTCTGCACTGGGAGAAATCGGAACCACCGAATAAGGACCAGCCTGCCCGGAGCCTCTCCTGGCTGGCAACTTGGATTCTGTGTCGGCAGTTAACACTTCCACTTCCAGAGGGCCAGAGCGAGACTCTTCAGCGCCCTTGGTCCAGTATATATTCTAGTAATTTCTACGTCATGGTTTACACTAAACATTTATGTTATTTTGGTGTATTGCTTTATATATTTTATTTTAATTAATTTTTTTTTCTTTTTAGACAATAAACGACTTTAAATATGAAGTTTCGTGTGTGGGGATACAAGAAAAGAAAGCCTTTGTGGTGGCTGAAGGCTTTGAAAGGGAGAAGAGGCTTATACTGATTTGTGGTTTAGCCATGTCTCCAAGAAGTAGAGAGCTTAGATTTTATTTTAAATAATGTGTGCTGTGTTTGTGCGCGCGCGCGCGTGCTTGTTGCTCTTGCTCACTGAGGCCAGAGGAATCGAATCTGCTGGAACTGAAATTCCAGGCTGTTGTAAATTGTCTGATGTGGGTACTGTACTGGGTATCCTGCCTCAGGAAGAGCAGTGCGCTCTTACCAGCTGAGTCCCCAGCATGAAATGGAAAGGTTGAAAAGACAGGAAAGAAAGGAGTCGCTTTTCCTTAGAAGGGGAGACTGCAACCCCCTCGCGGGGAGGAGGGAGGGCTAGAAATTTTTCCATTGAGAAGGTAAAGGGCCGAGGTTGACAAAGTTGCGGGCTGAAGAACAGGGCCTAGGGGTTTGAAACTGCGTGATCAATCCACCAGGCAGGTTTGCGAAGCAGCAAAACCGAGGCTCAGTAAGCGGCAGCCAGGTCCTGCTGCTGCTCCACGGTGCAGAACCGAACCCTAGACCTCTGGCCCTCCTGACTTCCACCTAGGCCTTGACCAGGGGTAAGTGGGTGGGTACAGCTGGGATTTATGGGACAGCGTTCATGTTCTCTAGTTCATTTGGGTTCCATCTTCTTAGGTTGCCCCACAACTTGGCTCTGTGAGCTGAAGGCAACCAGCTGACCCTGCTCAACTTTTCCATCGGTAAACGAATTTCAGATACGTTCAGATTTGAAACTCTTGGACCAACTGTGCTCACCTGGGGGTGCTTGAGCAGAAGCTATGCTTGCTGTATGTTCTGAGCTATAAGCAGATAATACGCGACATCGACATGACCCCATTCCAGGGCCAGGTCTATCGGCAGGAGACCCCAGGCATCAGGCACATCCAGCTGCGCTCCCGCCTGGTGCAGTACTACCAGGGTGTCCAAGAAGCCCTCCCGCGCTGCATCGTGCACGGGTCGGGTGAGGGTGGCTGGATCCTCGCAGTTCGGATCCGCACCGTAGAGCAGCAGCAATCTGGCTACTTGGGCGTTGCCCATCATCATCACCTGAAAGAGTCAGAAAGAAGAGTAGAGGGGTCAAGGCTAGCGTGCGGTAGGGACAGAGAAAGAAGACCCATTTAAGAAGCCTCATCACTATATTAAACTACCCAGTGCAGACGTTCTACCCTTTAAGGGCTTCCTGTACCAATTTGCTGCTCCCTTCCCGCCCATTCCATTCTTTTTACACACAAGTTAATAGGGTATTTCCCATGCTTTCATGGTGCTCAAACCTTTGTAGAACATCACTAGGAGCAAGGATACTGCACTTTCTTCCTTTGAGCAGGGCGGTGGTGGCAGATGCCTTTAATGGCACTCAGGAGGCAGAGGCAGGCTGATCTCTGTAACTTGGAGGCCAGCCTGGTCTACAAGAACTAGCTAGTTCCAGGACATGCTCCAAAGCTACAAAGAAAGCCTGTCTCGAAAAACAAACAAACAAACAACAACAACAAAAAAAAGACGATCTATGGTTGTATGGTAACTGCTAAAAGTGGTTGATAAAAAACAGCTAGAGGGGCTGAAGCGAAGGCTCAGGCTCAGCGGTTAAGAGCACTGGCTGCTCTTCCAGAGGCCTTGAATTCGATTCTCAGTACCCACGTAGCCGCTCACAACCATCTGTAGTGGGATCTGATGCCCTCTTGTGGCATAAAGTCAATAGAGTGCTCATATACATAAAATAAATATATAAACCTTAAAAAAAAGACAACCAGAATTCTCACAAAACTTGTTAACCTTTTCTTCCTGGGATGTTATACTTGTATTCCTTGAAGTCTAAAATCAGAAAGTCTAAAATGTCCCTAAAATATTAATGTTCCCTTTTCATTATAAATTATTTATCCTCTAAACTGTGAACATGTTATAGAGAGAAGAGATTTTGCAGACATAGCTATACTAAGGATCTTGAGATACACTATCCTGGACTACCAGAGTAGGCTCAATGTTAACACAAATATCCTGCCAAAGGGAAGATGGAAGCAGGGATGCAGAGGTCAAAGAAAAGATGCAGGAGTCCTGGGCTAATAGCCACTAAAGTTAGGGAAAAAAGAAAACAGGTTCTGACTTATAGCCTTCATTTTAGACTTCCAGCTCCTATAATTTCATACTGACAATGCTGTGTTTGTCTTAGTCTTGTTAAACGTGTGTGTAACTGGCTCCATTGGTGGAATGTTTGCCTAGTGTTTTGGTTCACTTTCTATTGCCCTGATGAAGATTGTGACCAAAAGTATCTTGGTGAAGGCTGAAGAGATGGCGTAGGGGTTAAGAGCACTGACTACTCTTCCAGAGAACCTGGCTTCAATTCCCAGCACCCACAGGGCAGTTCACAACTGTCTGTAACTCCAGTTCCAGTGAATCCAACACCCATGGTAACACAGCAATTTTTATAAAATAAATTTTTTTAAAAAAGTATCTTGGGGGCCGGGCGGTGGTGGCGCACGCCTTTAATCCCAGCACTCGGGAGGCAGAGGCAGGCGGATCTCTGTGAGTTCGCGACCAGCCTGGTCTACAGAGCTAGTTCCAGGACAGGCTCCAAAGCCACAGAGAAACCNAAAAAAAAAAAAAAAAAAAAAAAAAAAAAAAAAAAAAAAAAAAAAAAGTATCTTGGGGAAGAAAGGGTATCACAGTTCATCACTGAGGGAAGCCAACACAGGAACCTGTCCAGAAACCTTCAGGGAGGAACTGAAGCAGAAACCATGGGGGAATGCTCTCACCGGCTTGCTCAGCTTGCTTTTTTATGCAACCCAGACCACCTCCCCAGGTATCCTACACTAGGCTGGATCCTTCCACATCAGAAATCAAGAAAATGCACCCCAAAACTTGCCTACAGGCCAGTCGGATGGAAGCATTTTCTTACTTAAGGTATCTTCTTTTTAAATTACTCTAGTTTGTCATGTTGACCATAAAGGCAACTATAAGACCTTACGTGTGAAGTGTTGGCTCAAACTCCAACACCACATAAATCCTGCATACCTGTCTTCTCAGCACTCAGGGGATACAGGAAGGGGGTCAGAACTTTCGCTCACATATCAAGTTGGAAGCCAGTCTCCCGAGCTGCCTATTTTTTTTTTCTTTTTTTACAAACTAAAGGAAAGAAGGTGGGGAAGAACTGGGAGGGAAACTGTAATTAGGATATGGTGTATGAGGGGAAATCTATTTACAATAAAAGAAAAAACATGATTTGTTAGAATAGTAATAAGACAAAAAAAACACTTCTCAAGTTTAAGATCTGAAAGCCTATCTTTGGACCCTCAGTCCTGGTACAAGCCCCTTCCCAAGAAACCGTGATTGCAGGCCTGCTCTTGATTCCTAGACTGTCTTGGAAATAAAACCAATCCTAAACTAGGTGGCACACACCTTTAATCCTTGGTGTGCACACCAAGCAAGAGCTCTGACCTTTAGCTCCCTCCGTCCACCAGAGAGGAATTCTGAAATGGAATCAACAGTCACCAGAAAAGCAAATGAGTATTGTGTGATGTGTACGTTCTGGGGGGATCCCACACCTTCTTCAGGCCTCAGGTGAGCATCAGGCATGCATGTGGTGCAGATATACACTCAGGCAAAACACCTATACACAAACAAAATAATAAAGAACCCAGCTAGATATAAGCCTAAGCAGTAGTAGTTGGGCTGCTAAACTGGAAGCTTAGTTCTGAGGCTGGAAGTCATGCTAACAACCCCAATAGGAATGTTAACTTCCAGTCACCTGTTTTCAATTTCAATGCATGAATGAAAGTCATATTGTATTAGCTATCACATAAGGCTTTCCCCAGGTTGTTTTACTTACAAAGGCAACTTTTAAAAGCTCTTTAGGGTGAGCAGGATCGCTCAGCGGGTAAACCGCTTTTCTGTCAAGCCCGACCTTCCATTTTCCAGACTCATAGGGTAGAAAGAGAAAACCACTTCCTACAAGTTGTCCTCTGTCCGCCACACAGACCCCCTCTCTCAACTAAATAAATAAATCAGAGCAGTAAAAGATTTAAAGCGCTGTAAAGTTACCTGGAAAATAAACTAGGCAGAAATTGCTTTAGAGCAAAGGAGAAAGCCCCCAAACACTGTTTTTTTTTTTTTTTTTCCAGAGAACTTACAGTTCAATTTTATTTAGGGTAAAGAATAAAGAAACGTGCTCCCACTAGAATAAACTTGGCCACAGGTTTAGAATTTGCACTCGGACTACAGGAAGTTAAGGGTGGTGCCAGGCTGATATAATTGATGTGCTGTTGTATTTGCCTACTGTGTGTCTAATAACAATCACAAACTGAGCACGGGCAACCAGCCTTGGGAGCAAGTCTTACTCCTGATGCTACCCTTCTCCTCACACCCCTACTTCTGTGTACCACCCTGTGTTGCCTCCTCTACAAGCGGGTGCTCCAGCTGCCACCTCCTCTTTTTCAGTTGAAAGTTTTACTAGCCTCAAGACTCTTTCTGAGAATCATATTAGCAACAGTCTTAACAGTCTGGCATGCAACATTACAAAAAAAAAAAAAACCCAAACCAAACAAACAAACAAAAATCTGGCTATCCAAGAAGTTCGCCACCGAAATAAGCTTGAAGAGTGAATCTTCAAGGATTTTTGGCTCCCTAATCAGTTTTTCTGCTCTGTGTTCTCGCATCTCCTGGAAAGCAGGTCATCCTTTTAGATTCACCATTGGTGTGTGTGTGTGTGTGTGTGTGTGTGTGTGTGTGTGTGTGTGTAACCGGCACTAACATTTGGTAGAGGGGCTGGGGTTTGATGGCCACAGATAGTTTTGCAACTTCAGAACCACCACGTGGCAGGACTGGCTGCTGCTGGGAGCCAAAGAGAAGGAAGGCAGGAGACATAGCCCCCCAGAGTTCTGAGTTTTTAAACATGAATCACTCAGTTTTTTCTAGATCAAGATAGCATAATTAGTTGTTATTAGTATTGTTGCATCTTCCCCTGAAGAAAGTGGAACTAATTTAGCTTCCAGGAAAGCTGTAAGCGAACTACAGAAAGAGAGAAAAAAAAATACTGTGTGCTTTATGTGTATGTTAAAGTCCTCAATAATTGCTTATAAATTTGGGTTTAAAGATTGCTCACATCTTTTATGGCACAGAAAAAGGTTGAAAAATGCGAAAATAAGTGAAAATGTGGAGAGTGCCTACACCCTTTGAAAAAAGTACCTTGAACTGTGTCCCCTGATTTTTTTTCCTTTTCTTTTCCTTTCCTTTCCTTTCCTCTCCTCTCCTCTTCTCTCTCTCTCTTTTGGGGTTTTTCTTGTTTTGTTTTGTTTTGTTTGTTTGACACGGGATTTCTCTGTGTAGTCTCCTGGCTGTCCTGGAACTCGATCTGTAAACCAGCCTCTGCCTCCTGAGTGCTGAAATTAAGGGCATCGGCCACCAGACCCGGCTTATTTTCTTTTTTCTTTTTAGAAACTAAGGATTTCTGTCTCAAACAACAAGTTGGTTAAGGTTCTGAACCAAAACGATTTCCTCTTTTTCTCTTATTAAATGGCGGTCAAAACTATCGACCTGACTTTTTTTTTTTTAACTTTTCTGTATTCCGTAAATAAAGTCTTTTCTTACATATTTTAGGACTCCAAAGGCCAACTCCCCAGAGGCTGGTAATGCTTCAGATGTTAAACTGTAACCCATAGACAGATTATTTTTTAAAAGGCTCATACCTATTTTGTACAACCACCCATACTGTCTAGCCTCACAGTCTCCACGCTAGACTTGTAAGAGATCTCAAGGTTCCAAACACTTTTATTTCTATTGTGTGGTTTTGAAGTGTGTAAAATGTATTCTGTATTGCATAGCTGCAACTGGTGCTACTTTCCTTTACCTTGCTATGCACAGGCTTTCAAGAGTGCTTATTTGTTTCATGGGAATTTTCTTTGTGAGAATTAGAAAGAATGGTTATGGATGGATATTACTAGCCGGTAAAAAAAAAAAATTCCCTCCTATGTTGAAGCTTAGTAAATTGATGAAATCAAAACCAGAAATAATCTACTGACAATGGATGAGAACAAATAATAATTCTCAGTCACGAGAATTTGAAAACTTGATGCCAAAATGGTACACTATACTAAGTTAGTTTAAAGAGGGCGGAGGGCAGCAAAATATTAGGGGGGGATGTTCTCTAAATGGTAACTGAACGGCCACTGCAGTCAGGGTTACCCAGAAAACTCCCCAGAGATGTTGGCTTTTCTCGTATGAAAGTTACCATCCCACTGCAAATAAGACACCCTGTGCCTACCTGAATCGGGGTGCGACCGAAACAGTTCGGAACGTTGGGCAAAGCCCCGGCTTCCAGCAGAGCCCGAACCTCGTGCTCGCGGCCCTGGGCCGCCGCCCTAGCCAGCGTGTCTGCCATGAGTTCCATCGCGGCTCCAAATCGCTCCCCTCTTGATCGCCTCCTTCTCGAGATTCAGTGCCTAGCCCGCCTTCGCGTGACCAGCCCGGCCCTCCTTCCTTCCTCTAAGGTTGGTGGGGGACGAGCCTCTCCCAGTGCCTGACGTGGCTCCGCAGTCTGCTATAGGAAGCGCAATTCGCCCTGAACACCCCCCGAATAGAACGTCTCTGAAACCATCGCCGCCCCTCCCCTCCCTCCCCGCGCCCCCATCGCCGCCCCCTCCCGCCCCGGGCGTGGAGGGAACGGTATTCTGTACTCCTGCAAAAGAGACGTCGGGTCTCTGCAGAGAGCTGGAGGCTGCAGCAATGCTAGAGGATGGGGTGGGGGCACCTGCTGCCCGCGCAGACCACCCCACCCCCATGCCCAGACACCCCTTGACGCTAAGCTCCTTCCGGGCGCGCAAAAGAGGAGCACGTGGGGTTCTTGAGCTGGTGAGCTAGTCCATTCTCCACCAGCGTGAAATCTCTCCCGTTTCCTTCCTCCCCAATGCAATACTCGGGTTTTAGAAAAAAAAATGAAGGCGGGTATTTTTCACCGCCAAACTGAAACTTAAGGTATTCACTCCATAGGCAAAGATTATGGCCTCGTTTCTTCAGAAGAAAGAGCTACGTTCTCGCGGCTCTGAAATGCCAGCAATCCTAGCTCAAACAACTAATTTTGCAGAGTTTCCTGCCTGCCCGGGGTCTCTGACCCACACGCCCTGTGAAACCCGCCTCTTGGCGAGGGATCTCAGAAACCGTTCTGATGTTATGGTATTGGGTGCTAGCTCTTAAAATTGTGAGTTCTTTTAAACAACAGCCAGAGAAGAATTCTGTACGCAAATACAAAAGTGAGGAAATGGAGTCCCTGGAGGACAATCTTCTTGCTCATAATTGATGCCTATTTTTTATGGGGCTGTTGTGCGTTTAAATGACTTGATATGCTTATAAACATTAAGAACTGCAGCAATTCGACTGCACGACACTAATACGTTATTCATTTTTAATGAATATTAGGTATAACCGAGGATAAAAAAAAAAAAAACAATCATCACCGAAAACACGAAGACCTTTTCTTTTACTCCTGCATTTAATACAAGGAAGTTAAACAGCAACTAAAGAGCAGAGGGTTGCTTTGGCATTTCAAGACCGTGTTCAGTCACCATAAGAAGCTTCCCCCTGCAGCAGATGGGAACAAACACAGAGACCCACAGCCAAACACAGGGCAGAGTGAGAGACCTGGAACACTCGGACTTAAACCGAGTATCTCCAACAAGTCCGTCCCCTCAGAGCCCAGGGATTCCTGCCGAAAAGGAGGCAGATGAGTGTAAGAGGGGATGGAGGACACCAAGAAAACAGGGCCCTCTAAACCCACAGGATCAACGCTCAGACGAATGAGCGCACATGGACTTGGGTAGCACGCACGAGCGAGCTCTACACAGCTCTGCACAGGTCTGTGCTCATATCATGGCTTCCTGCTGAGTGTTTTTATGAAATTCCTGAGGGTGTGAATGAGTGGGTCTCTGATTCTTATAAAGGCCTTCTCTTGGGCTCTTTCTGCTGGTTTATCTTGTCCAACTTCTATGTGTTTTTATCTTGATTATATTTTGTTTTATTTTAAAAATGAAATGAATAAATGAAAACCTAGTCACCAGGATAAAGGTTAACAACTGAATTGTCATTTATACCTTTTTGGAGAGGGAAAATCAGTTTTTACAATGTAATGACACTCTAGGTATATCAACCACTCCTAGGTAGCTCTCATGTTCAGGAGTAGTTGATCAAGATACAATGGATTCCATAGTTTTTGTTTGTTTGGTGTGTGTGTGTGTGTGTGTGTGTGCGCGCGCGCGCGCGCACGCGCGTGCATGTGCGTGGTTTTACTTGGCTACTTTTTTGGGCGTGGTGTTTTGTTTTTCTTGTTTTTTTAAGACAGGATTTCTCTGAGTAACAGCTCTAGATGTCCTGGAACTTCTGTAGACCAGGCTGGCCTCGAAGTCACAGAGATCTGCCTACCTCTGCCTCTGGAGTGTGGGGATTAAAGGTGAGCACCACCACCACCCAGCTGTATTTTTTTTTTAAATAAAGAACTTAAAATTTGGTAAGTAGTGAGGGGGAAGAGGATCTGGAAGGACTTGTGGGAGGGACAGAATATGATCAATATATATTTAAATTAAATTTTTTAAATAATAAAAATATAACAAAAAAATAAAATATCAACAATGGGCTTTGGGTAAGTATACACCAGCGCAGGCATTTGCAGTAGAGGTCATCCAAGATGATGGAATCTGTGTATGGGCCCTGCTACTATAAATAATAAATAATAGTGGTACAAACCCTTTTTAGATTTAAAGCAAAACAAAACTACCACACTCAAAATTTGTTCATCCATCTCAGCTTGGACCTGATGCCAACACTCCACATGGAGTAAAATATAAAATTCAGTCTCCTGGTTAAGAGTAGAGAAGTAGGGAGTAGGCTAAAGGAAGGGGCTCTGGAGTTAGACCTTGTAGGTTCAAACCTGGACTTTTCTGTGTATTCAGATGGAGAAGGAGGTTACTCCAGGTAGAGGAGTCAAGGTGCAGACGTGCAGGGAAATATCACTGAGATATATTGGGCAGCCGGGAAAACAAAATAGGAACCAACTTCTGGAAGAGAAGTCTGCAAAGAGAGCTGTGAAGAAGTCAGATGGAAAGCAGGAGACGGTGGGATGGATAGGCCGGCACGCCTTTCCAGCTTTGCTGGGATTGGTCAAGCCCAGGGACGCAGGTGAAACAGGTACAGGGAACCAGAAGAGACTAAAGCACCTGGGCTGAAAGGGAAACTGAAGTGAGAGAGGAGGGGTAGTTGTGAGGTGTGGCTAAAATTTCTCTTCTTGAGGAGACATAACCCACCCTCTCCTCCTAGGATCCAGTGACAAACCATGAAATGCCACCAAGCTCACTGTGGGGAGCCATGGAGTTTATTAGAATTACATACTGAACAATGGGTGAGGGTTATGAACAGGAATCTGGGTATGAAGCAGCCATCAGTGCAAGGGAGATCTGAACCCAGCATGAATGACTCCTCTGTGGCTTTGTAGAAGGCTTTGTAGTCCTTTCTCACCATTTACAGTCTAGCCCTTCATCAGAGACCCAGAAGGCGGCCAGCATGCAATAAGGGCAGAACTGAATGCAACTGGCTGGGGGTTGTGGCTGTATACTCAGATCAAAGTTTCTTTCTCATCTGAAATACTGTTGTCTCTCACTCAGATGTGACACCACCTAGCTCTTACAATTCAGTGACACTACTCACTGAGAGAGTGACATTACTCGCTCAGAAACATATTTCTTGTTGGAGTCAAAGCAGCAGCCTCTTGAGACGCAGCTGCCATTTTCCCCAGGTGAAGGCACTGCAACTGGAGGCACGTGTCCCTTGTTCAAAGTCACAGAGCAGACAAGATCACAATCATATATGCCTGTTTATAGGCCTCTGCCTATGAGTGCATGTAAAATCTGCTTACATGCATAAATAATGAGAACCCTCATTATTTATTATAGCCAGGCATATAATTAGAAGAGACAGAGAACTAGACAATAAGAAATCCATTCAAAGAGGCCAAGAAAATCATAATGGTTATCATTTAATAATCTAATAGTCCAATTGCAATGCCTTTTTATTGTGATCTCGTCAAATTTTAGTTAACTTTTTATAAAAGGAAAAACTTTCTCAATTGATAAATATGACAAGTGATGGTAATATTTCACATGGAGAAAGGCTAGCCCCTGAGAAGATCAGATTCTCAAACAGGATTGTTAATTCTTGGGAATTATTAGTTGTGACAAATTAAACATTTTTGGGGCTCCACCTGTTTATTTAAAATTATTATAAATGTTCTCTTCCTGCTCAAGCAGGACCACAGCAAGGATGCCATCTTTTGAAGACATGATGCATAATTGTAGGCAAGTCACAAAGTTTCAGCTTCAGTTTCCAAGCTGCTAACTGGATTTGGAACCTGGGAATACAACCAAGTAATACCAAAACCATCTTCAGGAGAAGTTAGAAGTGCATTACCTGTTATAGGCAGAGTTTTTAAAATGTGTACAAAACAAGTGTGATTAAAAATAAAAATTTTACCATTAAAATATCTTAAAGAGTAGATTTTATGTGCCATAGGCTAACTTTGCAGCCCAAGGAAATAACCACTCTCTAACTAAACTATTTTAATGTAAATGCATTCTGATTGTTGAGAAACTGCTTATTATAGGGAAAATAGATGAAAAAGCAATTGCATGTATGTGGACATGCATGTATATGTGTACTGCATGATATACATACATGCTTATTTGCATATATAATGGGAAGCCTCATCTTGATGACAAGTAGACAGGCATATAATTAAGAGACACAGAAATAGAGACAATAAGAAATCCATTCAAGTGGTCAAGGAAATCATAATGGTCATCATTTATTACTCAGTGTTACATACATCATTCCTAACAAGACCACTCTCTTACGGAATAAAAAGTATTATCCTTCCTTCACAAAGTAGAATGAAATAAGCCAAGAGTGCTTCTATAGCAAGCACAGTTCCAACCCCCAGGCTCCGTGCTCTCAGCAAGAGGCCCCTTCTGTCTCCCAGACAGATGTCTTCCTGTTGACTAAGGTGCAGCGCATTTGTGGTATGCAACTCAGCAATTTTTTTTTTCTCTGAGTGCTCAGATAAACGGCAAAGCCTGAATCAATGCAGCAGGATATCTATGGGTAAGAAGTACTAGCTTGTGCGATATTTGTCAGTAAAAATACAGTGTCAGAAACTGGGTCCCTAGGTCCCTCCAGAAGTCACTTAGTAGTCACAGCCATTGTGGATGATGTTTTTCCATGTTCATTTTGAATGCTTGTAGCTCACGCATGTAGAAAAACCAGGGCTTGGTGGTGGTGGTGGTATGTGCCTTTAAACACAGCTAAAATGACAGAGAGAGAGAGAGAGAGAGAGAGAGAGAGAGAGAGAGAGAGACACCAGGAAATGAACTTCATGAAGAAAACAAGAAATTGTGCCACACAGAAATAACAATGCTGAAAAAAATTCCCTTCCTTGCTTTTAAGTCTTTACCTTGAAGATCCTGTACCATTTAAGATATTTCACTCCTGCTTATGAGAACGTTCCAAATTTCCCCAAAGGTATAGCACGAAGACTCGTCAACCGCTCTACCACGCAGTTATATAGATATATATGACAGTCCTAGCTACCCGGTTAATAAATAGTGTCTATAGACTTTATTAACAAAGCAAAACAAACCAAACAGCAGAAAGCTGCTCTGGAACCCTGAATCTGCCTGCTTCTGCCTTCTGAGGACTGGAATTACAGGACTGGCACTATTTTCTGTAGATCTTGAATGATTTTCTCTCCCCATATTCTTTCCATGACCACAGCTACTTTGCCTTGGACACGTGTGTGATGGGAATGACAGATCCTTCAAATAACTGTGGAAGGAACACAAACGAGGGACTGGATCGCAGACAAACCCACCAAGAGAGAATGCAGAGAACTGACCCCTTATTCACCAGCTCCAGGAATCCCCAGGTGGGCCCTGCTTCCAACTGCTGGGCTTATAGGTTTGCACCAAGCAATCTGGGCTTAGTTTAAATAAATTATGTATTTTTTTGTTTTCTTTGTTCCTTTGTTCTCTCTCCCCAGGTTTAAGTAAATTATTTAAGCTTCCTGAAGTCTGCAAGAAAATAAATTCACCTAATAAAGGTCTTTGTGGGGACTATTAGATCTGTGAAAATCCAGGTATACAGAGGATTCTCAATAAATAAAGATGAGTGATCTCCCCGGTTCTCCTTCCCTTGTTTTTCCCAGAGAGCCATCTGGGAGCACTGGCATCCATTAAAACCTGGGCTTTCTCTAAATAAATAAATAAAGATGAGTTTAGAACACACACATGTTCTCTCATGTTGTTCATAGAGGCCATCAAAATCAAATTCTGCTTTTCCCTGATTCGTAACTGCGCATTCCTGTACATGTTAAAAACTCAACAAATAACCTCCTAATAGTTGTGATTAATTCTCCTGTTGGGGACTCAACTCTCTAAGAACAGCACTGTGGTAATAGATGGACCTGTGTTCCAACTAAAGAAGTTCCAGAGAAAAACAGCCACTAAATCATGGGAAGTGACTCTGGGGCGGATCCCTGTGTCCAATGTTTCCTCTGCGCTGTCACCTACCACTTTCTCTTTGTGTGTATTTCAAGCAGAAATTTATGAGACAGTCTCACCTTGTATTCTAGGCTGGCCCAGGGAAAACTAGGCAAAACAGTGGAAATGCAAAATTTACCTTTGACAAACTTTTATGTTCTACCTCCTTTAAAAAAAATCCCTTATAGATTTTCCCTGATAAACAAACAAACAAACAAACAAAATCTTTGCCCTCTGACAATGGGAAGAATGGTATGTTGTGCATTTTGTATGTCTGGAATCCCAATTCTGAATAATTTCTTTAAATTGTTATTACAAATGACTCAAAATATTGAATTCTACATTTCAGACATCTTGAAGGGCTTGAAGATGACTTTAATATTTCTGTACACATATCCCACCACACACACACATACCACACATACACACACAACGGTATTAAAAACTGTCTTGAGTAAACTTCAATAAAGTGCTCTCTGTAGAAACCCCTATTCCAGGCCATTGACCTTTTTTTTTTTTTTGAGATTAAAAACAAGCTAATAACAATACTTTTAGTTTCAATGATTATACTGATTTTCTACTATAGGAAATTATAAGTTTTATCCTGATAGCAAGTGGCATTACACCCTACAGGCTTTCCTACAGGGCTTCTGTGCGGTGTAGATTTAAAAGAAGGTAAGTTTACAGTGATTGCATACGGATGCTTGACTTGACTGATGATATCCATGCCTTATTTGGATGTTCTCAGTGAGTCTCGACATGCTCTACTTCCTTCTTTTTCTCATTATATAAATACTATAAGCTACTCTCCCCACCCCCGGGCTTCCAGATGAGAAAGTGGAAGCAGAGAAGTTTCTACAGCTCCCTGCTGAAGCCACACCAGCTAGGAAGCTATGGGAACAGCACCCGATGTAGGCCACATGAATACCAACAATGAGCTTTCTTCTGCTTCAAACTGCTCCTGCATTAGTTCAGAGGTTCTCATTTGCTGCTTCTAAATAATGCAGGAACAAGTGATTTATGTTTATGAGAGGTTTCAGTTTAAATTTATGAGATCAATGACTTGGGGAAGTCAAGAACTTTAGTTACTATCATATTGCCTATTGTTTTGTAGCTTTCCATGGAATCAGTAAATATTTCCTGGGACATATATCCTCATACTGACTTAAGGGGGTCAAAAATGTATAGAACCCCAAAGCATGAGGTGCACACCTATGGTCCCAGCACTCAGAAGGTTAGGCAAGAGGATGGCTATGAATTCCAGGCCAGCCTGGGTTACACAGTGAGAGAGATCCTGCCTCACCAAACAGCCAAATAACCCCTCAAAACAGCTCACATAATAGTATTAGCTAGAAGAAATTAAAAAAATGAAATTGTGTGTGTGTGTGTGTGTGTGTGTGTGTGCTCTTAATTCCAGAGGCAACCAAAGGCAGTAAAAAGTCACTAACCAGTGGCGGTTGACAGGTTGTGATACTTATTTGAGCCTTAATCTTTAAACAACACAAGAGAAAGTAAAACTTCAAAAACGCAAGAGCACTAAGGTAACTGGGATAATGCGGATCAAATTTCTCCACTGAGCTCCTCATAATCACTTCTGAGAGAAAAATCTAACTTCAGAAGAATGACTGGATAAGCGTCTTTCTGAGAAATGCGGTATTCCATAGAAAACATTTTGCTGCAGCTACTTGGCGTGTAAAGTTCAAAGTATCTCACTTTACAGGGGCGCTTACTCATCTCAAACAAAGATGCTACTTTTCTTCATGTGGAAGAGGATTTTCAACCAAAGGGAGTCAGATGGCTGCTGTTTCTTTAAATTGGAAGCAAGAATCACACAAATGCTTAGTCAGCCGATCTGGCAACTGAACAGAAAAGGAGCAAAAAAGTGGTGGCACTCGGAAGAGAAAGTAAAGCACAGACTTTGTATTAATGTACACATGTAACAGGAGATCCCTGGTAAGGCCCAGAGAAACTGATTCCATTCTGAGTTTTTCTTACAACTTCACTTCCTGTTGCTCAGGGCATCTACCCCCCTATCCCCCCGCCCCCCCCCACCCCCACCCCATTATCCACCTCTCCCCTCTCTTCCCATTACTGGGCTTTTACAGACACACAAAGGTCCGACATTTTGTCAGCTTCATTCTGTTATGGTTTTGATTCTAAATAAATTATTTAAATCAGTGAAACCCCTTTGTCTTTCTTCCTTTTTAAACAGCATTTTAGGTTCTATTTACTCCAATTCTGGTTTAGATAATAAAATAAAAAACCCTTATTTATATGCATATGAAGAGATTTATTCACCTGGTACAAAAAAAAGTGAAGTATACCTAGAATTGTGGCTTTCGTATATGCAACTTTCAGTCTGACACTGTGAGCCTTAAAAATATCCTGTTATGTCCTCCTCCCTAATAGAACCCTTGGTTATACAAATCTGGTGGCCCTGAGATTCCCCCCTGCAAATTCTAACACGGAAAGGTCTCTTTTTCATTTTGTGAAACAATTTCTTCTTTGATTATTCAGTTCCTCTCCTACCTGGAGTCCAGAGTTTACTTAACTTTAAACTTTAAGTGGCTTTGCTAAGTTTAAAAACAAGCAAAAATAAGATCTGAAATGAGCAATATTGACATTTGCAAATCATGCCCAGAGGCCCCTTGAGGACAGTGCAGACTCCAGGGATCTGTCAGAACTCTGCTGGGGTAGAAATTGAGAGCGAGAGAGAAAGCCACCTGAACAGCTCTCAGGCCAAGGCGCTGCCGCTGCCTCTGCCTGGCTGTGCGCGCTGCACTCCTCCGATTTCTGGTTTCTCGCCTGCTTCCATTAAGAAAGCAAACACACGGAGAGAACTCTGCACAGTGTTATTAGTTTCAACGTGCATAAGAGATTAGTTAACTTTATTCAGACAATTCTAAACTACTACAAAGTAGCTTTTCCTTGGACACAATTTCTCTTGGGGATTGGGAGTGTGGTTTCTCAGGGGTGGAGCCTGGACCCCGTGCATCCAGAGTTCCCTCCCCAAGCCCCCCCCCCTCCCCGGTTTCTGTCTGAGTACTTTAGGAGGTGGTGATTTGACACCGAGAGACAACACTGAGTTAAAAAGTCTTTTGTGATAATGGGTTTTCATTTTCATAAGCAAGGTCAATATAGAATTCCTAACAAAAACCAAACTCTAGAGGGGATTGTGACTTTGTGTGACTTTAAATCTTTTAGCAAGATTTGTATCTTATTTTTCCCACTTTTTCACGTTTTCTCCTGACCATGGTTTTGCTGAAAGAAATTCAGTGTCTGTTCTGGGGCTCATGAAACAAGCAAGTGAGGAGCTGAAAAGAAGGGTGTCTTTTAATCTGTTCTTAAAATAAAAAGATGACATTGGTATTTGGTAGCACCAACAATTTTAAGTCCACCGGGGCTTCCTATTTACACAGCCCATAGCATGAATTACCACGTGGAGGATCTGTTGAGGCCTGAAGTTGGGGGATATTTTGTAGGAGGTTTATTCACAGGTCTTCTTGGACTATATTTTGCTCGGAATCCCTGAAGTGGGTGAGGTTCCTTTCTGATTAGTAATTTCAAGGGCACATTCTAATTGAGGGCTATTGCACAACAAAGAGAAGGCAGAGTCAACACTGGAAAATTAGTGCTGGCCTCTTGAAGGTGTGGCTGCACTTCCGATCTCAAAGCAGAGAGGCCTGGACCCCACATGGCCTGCGGGGCTGGGAGGGGGGGGAGAGCGGATTGGGAGTGCTTTGGCTCTGTGTGTTCACCCAAATAAAACTGATTTACTCTTGGCCACCATCAACCCTTCAATAACAGCTGAGTTAGTGATGTAGAGAATCTAGAGAAGTCTAAGTCTGCCTGACACTACCCCTTGTTGTGCACAGTGCGGCTCCCCTTCCCACAAGGCCTCTAACGCCTACAGTTACTTTTATCTGATTAAATCTTACCTGAGGCTGTGTCTCTGGGCAGGGAAGTGGTCAAGAGGGGACTAAACAGAAGGAGTGCCTGGGTAGCAGGTCTTGTTTTGGCCGCCAGCTTAATCACCATTTCTCTGGGGAGGAGGGGGGGGAGAAACAGGAAAGGAGAGAGAAAGAGATGGAGAGAGAGAGAGAGAGAGAGAGAGAGAGAGAGAGAGAGAGAGAGAGTGAGGGGGGGGGGGGGGGGGGGGGGGGGGGGGGGGGGGGGAGAGAGAGAGAGAGAGAGAGAGGGGGGGGGGGGCTGGAGCTGTGTGGAGCTCAGCTACTCACTGGTGCTCATGGGGGTGTCTCAGGACAGGACGCCTGAGATGTTAGCTCTGCCAACCAGGGATTCCCAGCTTGTGGTCACTCAAATGCCTGAGTATGAATTTAGCAGGTGAGATGGGGGGGGAGGGGGGAGAGTAAGCAAAGAGAAAGGATAGCAGGGAGGGTGACAAGGCTGAAATGAGACCCAACATCCAAGAGCCTCGGAGATGGGTGAGGGCAGCAGGAGCATCCTTTCCTGAAGTCTGGGGAACTAGTGCTGCAGAGTTAAAGCCTGAAGTCACAGCCCTTGCTAGCAGTCTCAGACTTCAAAGCCACCTTCATAGAGGCGAGAGACTCACAACTCAGTTCTTGACTCATTTAACAGTCTTAGTTCAACCCCTAAGTGTAATATTATGGTGCTAGAGGCTTTGGCAGTGAAATTTGTTGACTATAAGTGATATCAGATGAATTTATAAAACTCAAAAGTGAATGTCCCCAGTCCCTCCCAGTCTGAGGAAATTGTTTACTATGCCAAGTCTCATTTTTAAAATTGCCTGTTGTGGGGTGGGGTGAAGAGCAAGATGGCACAGGTCTTAACTTCCAGCTCTTGGTAGGCGCAGGCTGGTCTCTGAATTCAAGGCCAGTCCGGTTTACCCAGGGAGTTCCAGGCCAGTCAAGGCTAGTGAGACCCTGTCTCAAAAACAAAACAAAACAAAACAAAACAAAAACCAAATCCAAACAAAAATAATTGCGTACCTGTAGGCAACTATTTTACATTGTATAAAATATATTAAATGTTTTACAAAAAAGTATGTCAATATGTCAGCCAGAGTGGGCACACACACACACACACACACACACACACACACACGCCTGCACTCTCCCAGTGGCTGAGGCAGGAGAACAGGGAAATTTCAGGTCAATCTGGACTACAAAGGGAGGCTATTAAAATCAAACAAACTTGGTGGTACGCACCTTTAATTGTAGCACTTAGGAGGCAGAGGCAAGCAGATCTCTGTGGTTGGAGCTCAATCTGGTCTACATAGAGTTCCAGGTTAGTCAGGGCTACCTAGGGGAAAAGTGGGAAAAACCTAATAATTATCCCAACCTAATAATGATCTCATTCCAGGTTATACTTTAACACCATATTGTTATAATTTTAGGCAACTTTCTTTCTTCCTGTACTGATCTTCATCAAGTATTTTCTTCCCTGAGGGTAGCTAGGTTCAAGTGTAAGTAAGCTCACGTAAAGTTCTCACTCTGTGCTATAAAGTTGGCTGAGGATGAAGGTCAGTTCATAGAGGATCTGGCTAGCTCTCAGGAAGTCCTAGGTTTGGTCCCCAGAGTGTATAAACAAGGTGGGGTGGCCGACTGCTAGAAATCCAAGCACCCAGAAGGTGTTCAGATGTTTATTTCGCAACCTTCTTGGGCTAAATACATGAGACCACACCTAAAAAAGTGTTTTTCTTACCTGTAATGTGCTTGTAAAAGGTCATATTAGAGATGAGCTATGTGAAAATCTGAAGTTAGGGAAAATTCATACTTAATACTATAATTTTTATAGTTTGAGGATGAAATAATACTCATCATTTATACAAACCAGAATACAGAAGCACTGAATCACAGAAGCGGGGTTTCAGTTTGAGGGGCCCAAAGTACTGTAGTGTGAAGGAACAAGAGAGATGGGGTGAAATCACGGGTCAAAATGCTCAGTGATTCTAGAATTGAGTCGGTGTGAGTGGCAGAACTGTAAACCAGAGTACTGCTAGAGACAGACAGTAGTAGGTTATCCTGCTTCTAGGATGGCAATCAAAATATAAAAAGGAAAGGGTGGTTGTTATTGTGTGTAGAACACAGCACCAATGGGATCACCTCCATACTGAAATACTGGCTTCAGTCAGCAGCAAGGTCGGCAAGGTCGGCAAGGCTCTGACCTTGCAATGGCTGCGAGGTGGAGGAGTAGAAGGAGGAGGAGGAGGAGGAGGAGGAGGAGGAGGAGGAGGAGAGGAGGAGGAGAAGGAGGAGAGAGTTCCTAAGTAGCCAGGAATACTAGGGAGGGCAGAGCTTAGCAAAGAGTATTGTGTATTGCGTGCACTGGAAACTGGGCCAGGGCCTTCTGCAGACTACTACTGAATTGTATCCCCACTCCCTCACAGAATTTTATTAAACACATTTTCAGGCATAGGAATAAAAAAAAATCCAATGAACACATCTACAGAATTCAAAATGTTAGAATATTGACATCTGACATCTTTGCACCAATAGTCAATAATTTGTATAAGGAACGTTTAAACATTTGCACCCCAAGGGCCTGAGTGATTTTACGTGATTAGCACCAAGTATATTCCTAAGTCAATACCACTGTGGTGGAATATGTAAACATGAGGTGCATAGTTATAAAAACCCTGGTAATTAACACCTCAGATATTTCTATTACATGCTTAGCTTCAAATAGAAAGTTGGGAAATTGGCCTTTTTTTGGGTACATTCTATGCGCGCCATAAGTTCTACTATCAAATATTTGCTGGTAATTGGGCCTTTTTATATACTGGAAGCACTTCGAGATAATTCCCACATTAAATTCCTGAAAACTGGTTTTGACTTGCAACAGTAAGCGCTTTCTTTCAACAAATCTATTCTTATACTTTACAGTCTGCACTACAGCTGGTGCACACCTTTAATCCCAGCACTCAGGAGGCAGACGCAGGGTGATCTCTGTGAGTTTGACACCAGCCTGGTCTACAAGAACTAGTTCCAGGACAGACTCCAAAGCTACAGAGCAATCCTGTCTCAAAAAACCAAAAATAAATAAATAAAAATAAAAAAACCAATATTATAAATGGATATTACAACTCTGTGTTTAATTTTGCCTCAAATATCCCAGGATTGCCTTGAATTATGAATGCCATAAAGGATAACCTTAAGTCCTGTGTTCTCCTGTCTCTATTACTGCTTGGTTCCCCAAAGAATCAGGATCATTCCGCTCTCCAGAGCTGGAATTACAGAAAAGCACCACCACAGCCACCTACTTCTGCCTCTCGGGGATGGAACCCAGGATTTTGTGCATGTTAGGAAAAGAACTACAGTCCCTTCTTTAACTCTAAATGGCTACAGCATTGTGTTTTATATTCCTGAAAATATACAATTATAACATTTACAAATGCTAAAAATTTCTACTTCCTTTCCACAGATTCCCAAAGGCACCAAATTATTAATATAAAATAATTATGTAGGGAGAAATATATAGAATCATAAAATAGCTTTTTAATAGGGCATAGCACTAACAACTATATTCAAACTAATATATTACAAGGGGTAGACATTTGCTGTACAGAAAAAAAAAAAAAAACACAAACCAAAAACCCACCATTAAGGAAGGTGACTTGGTTCCTGCGAATGTTTTGAAATGAACTAAAATCAAATCTAGCAATAAGTCACAGAAACCTTTAACAATGCTCTCTACTAACTTTTGGAAGAATGAAATTTCGCGCCCCTTTAGTATCAGCACCCAGGAAGCTGTCTTAGTGAGTTGGAGGCCAGCCTGGTCTACAGGGCAAGTTCCAGGACACCCAGGGCTGAACGGAGAAACACGTTCTTGAAAAAGAAACTACCACAACAAAAACCAAACAAACAAAACTTTGACAGCTTTTCTTTACATTTTTTCTTTTTCTTTGTGGTCCAGGCCAGGGCTCCAGCTGCCCTAGCCCTCCTGGATAGTGTTAATAGTTTTACATATCCATGCCTAAAAGACAATTGATACTACAATAAAAAGCTTTCCCCAGGGGGTGGGAGCTTCACTTTTGGGACCCAGTGTGCTCTAAGATTTTAGCATACAGTATCTACACAGGTTTTTTTTTTTTTCTTTCAGTTTTCCAGATCACTCGGTGGGAGGATAAAACGTGTCAGATTCTATTTTTCAAGCAGTAGGCCTCAAGTAAAACCCAGGCTAAATGTGGTCTGGGATGTTTAAAATCTGACTACTTCTGACTCCTCCTGGACCGCACGTTCAAGTTCTACACCTGAGGATCCTGAAAGCACTATCCAAAGATGTTTCAGTGACTTAGGCCAGCCAGTAAAAAGTTTCCAACTCTATGGACTGCAACTGTCCATACTGGCTGAGGAATCTTGAAGAATTGAGTGTTTGCTTCTCTATCTGCTACTGATTACATTAAAATCGTAACGCGAAGTCTTCTTATTTTAGGAAGTCAATCTTTGTTCACGCTGCCCCTCTCGCAGGCCCAATGTGAGCCAGCCTGGTGGATGGGGGCTAAATAGGCAAACCCTTAGAAAACAAGACCGTTAGCAGGTATTCCCCCCTCTGCTCCGCCCCCAGGGTGAAATTATGAGTTCTAGAAAACCACTTTACCTATAGTAGTGTGTGTGTGTGTGTCTGTGTGTGTGTATGTGTATACACGCCCGCACCTTACTAAAGCATAACGGAGAACCGTAGGGAGTCACTCATTCTAAGGCAGCAGGTTTAGAAACTCGAGAATCCTAAACTTTTCGCAGGATTGAGGAAGACTGTATGAAGCGGGGTGGGGGGCCTTCAGATTCACCATGTGGTAAAGAGAGCGCGCCACCTCCGAGGAACTCACCCGAAAGTGGAAAAGCGACCCTCCCCTCCCCCCTCCTGTCTGCACCCGGACGCGTCCTCTTTCTACCTCGTGGGTCAGATGCACGAAAGCACGCGGAACCACAGCCCCTGTGCGCCGGGCTCTGGAGGGCCTTTCTTACCTGGTCCAGCGTGCAGCGGCCGCCCTCTGCGCTGGCTCCTCCTTAGCATCAAAACCAGGGCCACGACAGCCAGTGCGCGGCTCGCTGACCCGTGTCGCGAAGATCGCGGGAACCGCACCACGAAAGCCTTCACTCGGGGTGGGCGATCTGCGCGTTCCCGAATCCGCACAGTCACCAGGAACCTGTACCCCATGCTCCAGCCGCCGCACTCGCCCAGCGGTCGCCTCCGTGTGCCACGAGAGGTGAGAAGCGCCGCCCCCAGCCCATTCTGTTCGGAAGCACCCCGCGACCCACGCACCGCCCCCGGCCCATCTCCGCCCCCCTTCCCCTCCCGCCCATCTCCGCCCCCCCCGGCGCGTCCCCGCGTCCCCAGTCGCGCGGGAAAGCTTCCCAGAGGCGCCCAGAGGGAGGCGCGCGCGGGGCCGGCGGGCCGCATCCGGGGTCCCGCTGCCTCCCGCCCAGCGCACGCCTCCCGCCTCGGCCGCTCGCCGCGCTCGCCACCCCTCGCGGTGACAGCCGGCGCCTCGGGACGCGTGCGCACCGCCCGCCCCCTGGCTGCAGCGGTCACCTAGAGCGGCTGGCTCGGCACGCCCCGCGCGCGGGTCCGTTGTCGCTGCGGTCAGGTTTGGGTCCCGGTCCCCTTCCTCTCAGCCCGACGCCCCTCGGCGAGGCTTGCCCGGTTCCGAATTCAACTATTTGAAGGAGAAAAAGGAAGATCAGCGAGGCCTGCCATGTGTCAGCCCGCCAATCAGGACGCGCGCGGGCGTTTTGAACGCGAGCGCCATGTAGCTGCGCTCCTCCGCAGAGGACCGCGCGGAGAGAAGAGCTTCTGCCTGCATGGGAACCCAGGACCTGTGCTCCGCTGCGGACCGGTAGGTGCGGCCCGGCGGGTCCCCGAGTGGATGGGCAGACACGAGGCCGCCGCTCGGGGACCGTGTTTATTTTCGGTTTTAAGAGAGAGCGCCAGAGGAGCGTCCGCCTGTCTTCCTCTTTCTCCGCCCAGCGTCCCCACCCTCCGCGATCCCCTCCCCCCTCCTCCGGGCTGCCCCTTTCCCCGCCGCCCCCCCCCCCTTCCCTCCTCCCCCGCCGCGGACCCCGCCGAACAGGAAAAGCGGGGGGAGAGGGGGAAGGAGAGGAAGGAGCGGTAAAAACGGAGGGCCGAGTCGACCCGGGACTCCGGGAAAGCGCTGGGTCAGTCGCGGGTCCGGACCTCTGCGCTTGCGAAAGCGGGAAGTCGAGCCCAGGACGCCTCTAGCGGGCGCGCGGCAGCTTCCCGGGGTCGCTGCTCCCCGGACAGAGGGGACCTGTTTCGAGTTCACCGGCAAGGTCCTAGCGGGCCTGGGTGGCCCAGCTGTACGAGATGACGTGGAAGCCGGGCTAGCTTTCGGAACCTGGAATTGCGGGCCCAAGACTCGGTGGCTTCCAGTTTACAGGCTGGGGCCTAGTGGTCTGGTTGCTGTAAAAAGTCCACATCAGGGTGACAGCTGGCAAGGGTCTTTACAGAGCTCTAAGCCCCAGCCCTAGACACAGAGGAAAGCGAGACCTGGGGTTTACTAAAACCCAGCTCAGGCCTTGCTGTAGCTGGGAGGTCTGGCGGGCCAGCCGCTGCTTTTCCATCCTCATCCCGGTGTGCGACTTTCAATAGAACCTCTCAGGCCCAGGTCGGCTAAATGGGATGAGATTCTAGGGGCACTTGGGTAAGCGTCACTCAGAGTTCGAACTTCCCAAAGACAGTGCTTGGCCCTGGGGCTTCTGACCACTCTACTTAGAACTTTCTCCCTCCTCACAAAGCTTTGGCCTCCTCCAAGTTTCTGCATAAGGCACTTACCCACTTCCCAGGAAGGCCCTTTGAGTAGGCAGGCTACTCTAGCCTTTCTTTGAAGAATGTAAAGTGAAAAATCTGAACTTTTAAAATTAATTCCATTCCCTGATGTCGCTTCTCTATCAGTTGTATGTGGAGAAGTTGTGAAATTTTATTTTTGTGTAAATATAATCATAAAGATATTGGAGTCCCAAGTGACTTTTGGCTACGTGCTCTTCAAAAAATTGAATAATGAACTGGTGATATGAGTTTTAACTTAAACTCGAATCACCCATTTTGTTCTCAGAGTTGCCCTTTGAGTTCAAGATGGTTGTCATTATTTTACAGGTGACTCAAGCCTTGGACGCTGCCTGGCTTCAAGTGTGCAGGTTAGACCCAGCAGGACCATCCTTGGACTCAAGTGGTGCTGTCTTTCTGTTGCCCCAGAGACAACTAATGGGCAGTGAGTTATTTGTGAGTCACTTTGCAAACAGAATCAGTGGTAATGGGGACTTTGCTGTTTATCAGTGGCCTGAAAAACTAATGGTCCATCTTATGTCTTTTATAAAGGAAAACAGTACTGTTTTGGATTAGCAAACTCATTCTATAGAGAGGAATAGAAAATATCCCCCTCCTCCCGCACACAGTGTTTTCTTTGTCTTTCAGGTAGGGAGGACCTTTTCCTTTTTTGAGGTGTTCTGGGAATAGAACCCAGAGTTCCAGGCAAACACTCCTTCACCAAGCTGCATCTCAGCTCTCCAACTGACCAGTTTTCATTACAAATTTTATGAGGATGGCACACACTCAGACTCAAATCCACCAAGGCATAAGGCAGAAGACACTGTGGGGCTGGGGAGATGGCTCACTGGGCAAAGCATTTGTCTCACAGGACTGAACTAAGACCCTATAATCCCACTGCTAGAGGTGAAGAAAGGGGATTCCCTGAGCAAGGTGGCTAACTGGACAAACCAAATCAGCGAGTTCTGGCTTCAAGTGAGAAACCCTACCTCAATATTTAAAGTGGAGAGATTGACCCTTGTCTTCACCCTTTGACCTCTCCACAGGCACATGCACCCTCACACATACATACTGTACTTACAGATAGCATACAGAAGTATAGGGACATGCATGTTAGATGTTTGTGTATATTTATATATGTACACATGAGCTTTAAATCAGCCTTAAAGCTCATGTGTGTTATATATGTGCACACACACATCTGTAAGCGTGAGGAATATATGCACATACAGAAAAATTGTGAAGACACAAATATCTCTTTAACTGTAGAAATTTCACTTCAAATTGTTTCACTCTGTGGATCGTGGAAGTCTGGAGAAAACGTTCTTTATAACAGTATACAGTAGCAAAAGCAGAAAGAATAAACATAAAACATGATGTTTTGGTGACATTGATGTTTTCTAAAAACCATGACTCCCCACAAAGGCAAGCCTTCATAGCTGTGAAAATGGGAGCGCAGTTGTATATGTGGGGAGCGGCTGTCACAGAGCCCATGACGACAGCAGAGAGTGACTGCTGGAATAGCATAATCCTACGTGTATTTTAATGTCTGTTGGGTAGTCATGCTTAAATTACACACATGCACACAAACACTTGTATAGTTTCTGGAATGATTCTTAAAATTGTTGAGTAACAGGTACTTTTGGATAGTAAGAACAGTTTAAAAGCCAAGTGTGGTGGTGCACGCTTTTAATCCCAGCACTCTGGAGGCAGAGGCAGGTGGATCTCGTGAATCTGAGGGCAGCCAGGTCTACAGAGCAAGTTCTAGGACAGCTAGGGCTACATAGAGGAAACCATGTCTTGAAAAACAAACAAACAAAATAGTATAAAAGTTTCACATTTTATTTAATACTTGCTACTTTTCTGAACTATTTCAAAGTTTGCCACCAACAAGAATTATAGTAACCACCACAGATCAATTGTCGTCGAGTCAACCTGGGGCTGGTTAGCAAGTATGAATTTTTCCAGTGTTTTCTGAGCCTTGGGGCCTTCTGGGGCCCATTTTTTTCAAGAGAAAGAGGTTTTTAAACTTGTTGCCTTCTAGTAACTAATGGGGCCAACATCCATCATGTATTATATCTATTATGTCTATATGATATAATAAAGGCTTGAAAGTAGAATGAAGTGCCATTTAATTTTTCCCCCAGAAGACAACCTTCCATTTTTTCTGTTGAGGATTTAAACATAAAAAAGCCACTGCAAATCCTAGAGTGGGTTTGCTGTGGCAACACTCGGTATCAGTGGCTGTCCAGAGAGGGGACTAGTAAAGGTGATCAGATCATTTCCAGACAGGAGTACAGCTCTGCACGGGGTAGCAAGAGCGCTGGAGGAGAAGGGAAAGATCTTGGGGCATCCTAATCCCTAGAGAGGCAAGGAGCTGCGGTGCATACATTTTCCCAGTTGTCACCCTTGGAAGAAGAAACTCTTGTTACCAGTTGTCCATTTTTGTGAATGCACTAGACTGTTACTGTTTAATGTTTTTAGTTATACAGTGAAACTATTTTCAGCCTAATGAGATACAGAGACTGGATTTAAGAGTGTTACATCTCTAGGGAGGATACAGAAACCTTCCAGGTCACTCTCTCATTTGGGAGTTCCTCTGAGAGCAACTGCAAGTCCATGTTCTCTTTGAATTCTTACGCAAACATAGAGTGGAATCACACAAAAATCACATTTTCAGTGTACTCATAGTAATTTAGAATAGCTAATCCCCATATTCTATATCATACTTGCCTGCCTAGATTATTATAAGAAACTATTTAGTTCAGGGGTCTCAGTTAGCATGAAAAAAAAATAGAAAAAGCAACAGAAAAATCAGAACTAAGATGAACTGAGAAAAACTTAAATTAAGCCATGTATTTCTGTTGCAATGGCCTTTGTCAGATTTCTCTGTTAATTTTTCAGTGAACTAGTGCAACAGGGGTGGTTCCGGGGTAGAACTTATAGTAACATTTTAAAGGATTCTCCTTTCTCCAGAGCACAGAGTTTCAGTGTTTTCCCTCTTGTCCCTGTCCCTTATATATCTTTGCTTAGATCATGGCAAAAATAATTGCTAATATGATATGGAAATGAATATTCACAAATAAACACAGATCTATCTTCCTCTGTATATATATACATGTATATATATATATACACACACACAACATACATATATCACTGTAAGATATACAGAGATTCAAAAAGCATAGACCTTTAGTGATGATAAGAATGTAGAAAGACCCTAATCCAGCTTCCATATTTATACATAAAGGAAATTGAGATTAATTAAAGCTATGTGGCTTAGCATTCACATGTGAAATTAATTAATAACATGAAAGAGTGCTTAGTTTCTCTTTTTTTCATTCCCCTAATCTGTGCAGGAATTTCAAGTAGAATTGGAGAATTTTTTTCAAACTATTAAGGTACAACTGTTATTACTTCTTTAAGTATTTGAAACTAGTTTTAATAATATAAAATCTGTCCATCCAGTCATGAGTA